CATATAATAATAGTCAATATATATAGCTTTAAAATTCATTTTCACAGAAAAAAATCCGTGAATGCTTTTCAGATTATCCATGATGAACTAATGTGTTCATCTGTTTTTCAGTTATTAATTTATTTACTAAATAAGATTATTAAAATATTCACAATTATTTTAGCAACTCATGAGAGATAAAATTTATAATGTGAAGGAGACGGGTTTAGTCTTTTATATAAAACCTATGGTACCCAAAAAGTGACTCTATGTATGAGTTTATATATAAAAATAATTTAAGTCTAAAGAATATTTTAAAGATACTATTAAAATATTTCAGTAATTTAATAAGAAATAATTTTTTTATAACAAAATTATGATATATAAATGTTGTTAAACTTTGGAAAAGCCAAAGTCAACATTTATTCTTAAAATTGAATAGAACCATTAACAATTCAATTTGGAGGGTTGAATACTCTAAACTCTTTTAACTTTGGAAATAAGTGTGTCTTTAAAACTTTTTTATAGTTTAACGATTAAAGTACCTTCTGCTCAAAAAGTATCCGGATTTTGTTATTTGTTAACTACTCCTTAAGTAATAGACCTTTTTCAAAATTTATTTTTTATTATGTCGGTACACCCTTTATTGACATATGATACAAATTTAAGCGCCATCTGTCAATTAGTTTGTTTATAGCAGCTGTTAATATGAGACTACCTCAAGTGCATTTAGCGATTTTTACTATGGAAAATTCTTGTGGTAAGCGATTTTTTGACCAAACAAGGCACCACTGTCATCCCTCAGGCACCATATTCGCCAGATATGGATCCGTGCCGATTCCGAAACTCAAATTGCCTTTTGAGTCGATTGAATCGGTAAATGAATATTCGCTGAAGGAACTTAAAGCCATACCTTCACGGGCTTACGAAAAATGTATGGAAGATTGGATTAAGCGTTGATATATGTGTATCGCTCCAAAAGGAGCATATTTTGAAGGAGATAAAATAAATATTTGGAATAAAATTTAATTTTGTGTGTTTCATTTACAAAATCCGAGTACTTTTTGAGCAGAAAGTAGATGCGGTGTTGCCTATTTAGGAACCTCTTTAGTTTCAGTTATTCCTTACACTTTTTCATATCTAACATTATAGTATACTCACAATGCTGCTATAAAATAACTTTCGAGCTATACAATCTAAATTAATTTTATTAATTTATTAAATTATTTTATTGCTTATTTAGTTTATAAAATTAAAATTAAGTAAAATAAACTATTTTTCATCTCAGCTTGAATGCATTTTATTGCTATAAAATTGAAACCTAAATCACTCAATAAATATTCTGTTTGCATAATAAAATTTAACTACATTTCACATTGACTTAATATCTATTTGTGTTTAACCTACAAAAACGAAAAGATTAGTAACCAAAAATATAGTTTCTTAGAGAATACTCAGATAAAAATAAAGACACTTATTTTCCAGAAAATAAATTTTTAAAAACGCATACGTAGAGCGCGAGTTACGATTCGCACATATGTTTTTTAACCACTTGAAGTAGTAAAGTTTATGATTATTTTCTACAGCAAAAGCCGCAACGCTATACGGAAACGGAAGTGTTTCACACTCCAATTGCTGCAGAGAAAGACCCCAACGTTGCATTTTGCGCGCACATCAACAAAATGAATGAAAATAAATATGAACGGTTGATGTAGAAAACTATTTTCAAGAAGAGCACCAAGTAATCCCAGCGTGCAGAATGGTGCAGCTTGAATGCCTATTTCGAGGGTGAGTACGGCGAGGTGCTGCGAAAAAATGCTGGCAAAAGGAATTACTTTTTAAAACAATTTTACTACAATTTTCTACCATTTTTTTAAAGTTCTATTCTGTCTCTTTTTCACTTTTCTTTCTTTCTTAACCCAATAAAAGTTACAAATATGCAATTGCAGGCAATGCTGCATGCTGTGGCATCTATAAACTGAGACAACTCCAGTACCACAACAACAATGGGGCGTTGAAAAAAATAGTTGGGAAAACAAAAACAAATGAAATAAATTTACAAAAATATACAAAAATTTAAAGTGCAAAGAGCGGCAAAAACTTGCATGAAAACGAAAATCCTTTTGGACTAGTACGAGTATAATTTGTGGTGCGGTATGTGTGGACATATGGACGGACGAATGTCTGGATGCGTGTAGGTGTTTATGTTTGACTATTTTTATGCATCGGTCGTGAACTTTGACACATATGCATAAATATTAAGCAAGCAACAAACTTGCATAACAACAGTGAAAAATACACGAAAAGCATCCGCTCGGATGTTCCTATAGCGACTTCCGCTTTAAAGTGCTGCATATGTGCCGCCATTTCGCCTTTCCATTCCGCAGTGTTAATTCAAGTTTGACCCGAATTTTATGCTATAAAATGCAGTTTTGTTGGTCAGGAAGGGATTTCTCTTATTTATTTTGTTTCTTCTCGCTAACATATATCTTTATGTCTTGCCTTCCTCGGTCAGCACTCGTAAATCACACGCATGCACTGGGTCAACAGAGTGTCGCAATAAAATTTCTTTTAACAGCCAAGCTTAAACGATGGTCGTTCTAAGTTTATTAATTTCACTTTATGCTGCTTTTTCTCTAGTATTTAAAAAATTTTTTTATTTATATGAGCAACATTTGTAGAAACATTTTTAAATATTTTATAGAAAAGACAGATGTGACCATAATTCGTCAATTCGTAAAAAGAGGTTTTGGAGATACCTCGAGTTAAGAAAGAGTAAAAGTGCTCAAGTGCACTGGCTCAAATAGCTTTAACATAATAATAAATGATCGTAAAGTGACCATAATTTACGTCATTAAAATTTCTCTTAGTTAAAACTAATTTAATGGTACTTTGATGGAATGGACTGGAAAGGTGCTTTGCATTGATGCCTAAATGGAAGAAAAGCTTTAGTGATCAGATAGATTATCATAATTAAAATGATTAACTTCAACAATGATTGCTCATTAAGATTTACAATTGTTAAAAAAATTTTAATAATATTTAGCTTAAAAGAATTCTGCAATGAATGAGCGGAGAAGATCCGATGCGTACATTTTTCTATGAAGGAAATTATACTAATGGAATCACTGTTAATGAGACTTAGTAATAAATCAATGAAGAGAAGAAAATAGATATTGTTTTGTTGGAACTATACTCATCTTATAATAATAATGTAGCTACACAAATTTAGCGTCCCTGAGTCAGACACATAGAAATACAACTATGAAGAAGTTTTGAAGAATACCAAGCTTTGTCTTTGATATGGATATTGATGCCTGGAAAGTGAATCATTTTTTTATGATTGTAATTAATTAATTAATTCAATTATTTTATATATGGTTTTTAATTTCGTTCTAATATTAGCAACAAACGAGTTTGTATATGAAATTTCTAATAAACACTGACTTTGAGCTTTAAATTTGGCAGGGCACGAGTTCAACCTTTGGTATT